GAGCATCCCAGGAGTAAAATGGAAAATGGAACAGACAGCGTGGCTGCCCCTGCCTTTAGCACCTACACCCCAGAAGAGATGGTGCAACAGATGAAAGAACTAATCACTGAGAACAATGAATTAAAAGGTGAATGTGCATGTGAACCGGTCTTGAAATGCAAAAGCCCCGAGTCTCTTCTGTGGGGTTTTTTGGCCTATGAGTATGAATTCTGTGCTCGTTTGCCCTTGCTGGATAACATTTTATACCTGGGTAGCATGTGCTGTGTAAGCGACTCTGCAAGTGGCAGGGCTAGCTTGATAGGACATATCAAATTGAGTTAGTATGGACGACCAGGAGGAGAGTGGCCCAATGTGTGGGTGATTTATTTGCTTCAGAATTACACATATAGCCAGTATAGCACTCTTTATGTTAGGAGGCAAGGTGAAAATCTCTTGCTGTTGTATGCTCTTTGCTCATCAGTCTCTAAAAGCTTTTTTGGGTTGTATTTTTAGGACTGTTGTGCAGCTCCGTTATAGATAGACTAACATTTTGCCATGGCTGCATCAGGAGGGGTGGGTACTGTAGAGTGCCCAGAACAGTTTGTGGTAGGATGCTCTCTGGATGTTTAGATGTGGCAGCACATTCTGTACTTCAAAAGGAAGTGGCAGCCATGGCAGGGTCTATTTGGGAGAAACGGACAGGTTTTTCTGAAAATGCCTAATGAGTCTTTCGGGTGAGAGCACTTTGTTTCTGAATTCCAGGAGTTTTTGTGTCAGATATGTATTTTATTTTTTTTAATGGATAGAGCAAAACCCAAGGGATCTGGGAATTTTTAGTGTAAAAGACAGAGGTACCTCACTGTTTATATGACAGCAGAGCATGAAGTCGCATATCTCTGTGCTGTGATTTTACATTCGTGTTTAAATCCTCCCTGAATCATTTTTGGACATGATTCAAGTTCTCTGCATTGGAGTCTCCTGGGTATCCGGCAGGAAAGTTGTTTCTAGAAGTGCCTCTGGTATTTTTTTATAAGGTCCTATATCATATAAGATAATATTTTGGGACCATATTACAGCTGCTGTAACGTATACCTTGCAGAGTCATGCTCCAGAGCTACATTTGTTTACATAACCTGAAGGATTTTTTGGCAGTTTATAATATGCTATTAGGATATAATGGAAGTTACTGGAAAATACAATGTGTAAAAGATTTTCAAGCAACTAGCTTTGAGTTTGTTGATTTAAAAAAGCAAGTCATTGTCTCTTGTAAAAATCTTGTAAGCATTTTGGCAGTAGTAAGACTGATGTTACATACACATGGCTTCCCAGACAGGGGGAACTGACTTTGCTGTAAGTTGTCAGGTATATTTTTTTCAACGCTTTCATCAGTCACATCATAACCAAATGTTCCAGTAGAGCATTGTTGGGCATATCTAAGACTTTCAATTTTATATAAGCCGTTTTCATGCAGTAATTTACCAGCCTGGGATGTCTCTTTTCCCTACCAAGTCTCAGTAGTTTCAGAATCTCAGTTCAGTAGTTTCATTTGGGTTGATCACAGAAATAATACACGCAGCAAGATACCAAGTACCTCTTGTGAACAATACTTCTTGCTTGTACTTCTTGGTTTAGGAATAAGTCAAGAAGTGAGAGTGTGCGCATGTGATTTCAGCAATGTGTTTAATGCTATTTATTATGGCGCTAACGAACTATAATAAGTTTTGGTTTGATATTTAAGATACGTGAGGAGAAGGTTTCACATTTCATACCTAATTATTGCTAACCTACTAAAGAATGCTGAGCTCAGTGTAGAGGAAATCTGCTGTTTCATTGACAAAGTATTAATGTCAATCAATGTCTTGTCTCTGGCTATTGTTTAGAAGCCGTGAAGTTGCATAACCAAGCTATGAAGGACCGATATGAGGAACTTTCCATCTGGCGAGAGAAGCAGAAAGAAGAAAGAGAATTTTACGAGTTAAAGTTTAAGGAGGCTAAGCAGTGCTTGCTAGCCAAGTGCATTGAAAATGAACAGCTACAGCAACAACTCCAGAGCTTAAAGGAAAGAGAAGGAGCTGAAATGGTAAACAAAGGATTACTTCTCAGAGTGTAGTAATTGTGCCACACTGGAGATAATTTACATTTTAATTAATATTTAATTAACAATAATAATAATTAACATTCTTGACCTAAGAAATAAGAAATTAACATTTTCTTTCTAACTTTTTATTCTTTATTTTGTTTACTTTTTGGTATCTCTTGACTTTATCCCTCCCTTTGCGTATTAGATTATCTGTCTCTCATGATAGTTTAATTGCTTTTGTATTTTTGTTTCTGGGGAGAAGTTGACATGTAAGCAAAAAAAAAAAATACCTTCCACCTATTTTTATTATAGCATTCTCCTCTCATTAAAGCTCTTTTACAGAGATCTGATTAGATTTGTACTTCTGCTGCCCCATTTGAGTCTGATGAGCTTTCTCCCTCTGTCTTACTTTTGCCTCTGTAACACATAACTTCTAATGTCGCAGGTGATTTTTTGCTTAATAGCCAGGCAACATTTTGCAGGTATTTACTATTAACCGAGATAGTCTATAGTCCATTACTACCGTTAAGTGACATCTCTGTTTCACTCAAAGTGAATCACAGATATATTGAGTTGCCTCCCTTAGTGATAAACCAGCATTCATAGGAGGGTTTCTCTCAAAACAGTACCTCTGTTAGCACAGGTTGCTGTAAAGCTCTCTGTTCTTCCCTGGAGATGACTCTTAATTCCATCCTCTTACACCATAAGCACAAAATCAGAGACAGCAGCAAGTCAGGTGGGTAGGGTGGTACTGCAGGATAAGAGACACTGTCAGCATAGCAAGAGTTTGGAGACCTGGCATGAATGATGGACTAGAAGGTACTGCAGACTTCAGGAATTGTCCAGAATTTACACTGATGGTATGTGGTGTAATAAAGGCGTTACCAGGAGGTGGAAGGCTCGGATTACAGAATCAGGGAGAAACGAACTCACAGGGAAAGTTTAATAATGGGGAAAGGCATTTAAAGGAGAGAAAGAAACAAGGCTTCCTGATTGTGTAGAGGCCTAAAAGAGGGTTTTGAGGATCCGGGGGAAAGGGAAGAGGCAGATGGTGAAGGAGACAGTCATGACTGGAAGGAGAGATTAAGTCTGAGGAGAATCTCTGAGGGTCAGAAGCTTTGTGGAAGGGATGTAGGACTTTGTGCGAAGGTCAAAGATACAGGGAGAGATTTATACATGGAGATGGCATACAGAGAAGTTGTATGGTGGGGAAAGGCTAAAAGTGGGGTGTGTGGAAAAGCACTCTGCCCACTAGTCTTTTGTCCCTAGAATCTTACGTAGATTTGGGAAAAGAGGGATAAGGATATAGGAAAAAAAAAAAAAATTCTGGACAATAATTCTGTAGGTTGGCTGAGACCCTGTGTGGTAGTGAGAGGCATAGGTTCAGGCAAAGATTTACCTCCTGATTATCTGTGTATTCAGAGAACCAGGCCCATGTTTTCCAGAGGCATGATGCTCATCATTTGATTAACTTTGTTTCACAGCTTGGACTTCTTGCTGTCTAGTGGACCAAAGCAGTTTAGGGATCTGTACACTGGGCTTTTCCAGACAAACTTAAACAAAAAGAAAGGATGCGGGACACCATTGTTATGTTCAGGCTCTGTGCTCCTTGGCTGGTCTTTCCTTTTGGTTGGCTAATGCAGGGTTTGTTTATCCCAGGAGGGCAGCATGGCTCCTGAGAAGGAAGTGAGGCAGCTGAAATCCCAGGTGCAGCGGCTCCAGGCTGAGAAGGCAGATCTCGTAGCCATCATTTCAGAACTGCAGGTCAAGCTGAACATCTCAGCAGAGGATTCCTTTGTGGAGATTGGGATGAACGTAAGTGAGGGGAATAAAAAGAACACAATGCTCTGTGGCTAGAAACTTTGGTTCCAGCTTGGTCCTCCTTTCTTTGCAAACTGAATTTTCTTCTCATACCAGGCTAAATGAGGAAGTCAGGTCTGGGTGTAATTACAGTGACAACGTTTACTTGATGACATTCTACAGTGAGGTGTCTAGCACCCTGTCTTCCTTTAGCAGAAAGGGTGAATCTATACCCATGTCAATGAAAAGTCTTTATGCCTCTCTGATAGAGAACATCAATCTGCCAGCAACAGCAGTAACACAAGATACAGGCACAGTAGATTTGGAAGAAGAGTTGCATGGTTGGACTCAATCATCTTAAAAGCCTTTTCCAACCTAAATGATTCTATGATTCTGTGGTCTCTTAGATTACCTGGCATGGAGCACTTGTGTGTTACAAAATGTGGTGGTAAAGGACTTGGAATTTATTTTTGTCCTCCTACTTTGTGTTGGTTTTGGCTGAGATAGAGTTAATTTTCTTCATAGCAGCTACTATGAGGCTATGTTTTGGATTTGTGCTGGAAGCAGTGCTGATAACACAGGGATGTTTTGTTATCCCTGAGCAGTGCTCACACAGAGCCAAGGCCTTTTCTGCTTCTCACCCCACCAGTGAGTAGGCTGGGGGGTGCACAAGGAGTTGGGAGGGGACACAGCTGGGACAGCTGACCCCAAATGACCAAAAGGATATTATACTATATGGTGTCATGCTCAGCATGTGTATTGGGTCTGGCTGAGGTGGAGTCAGTACCCCCATAGCACCCTCCCAGTGCTGAGGGTGACAGTGGCAGCCAGCAGGGTGTTTGTAACACATCCTGGGAGGGGCGGAGCCGGGACAGCTGACCCGGATTGGCTGTTCCACACCGTGTGACATCAGCTCAGCCATAAAAGTCCAGGGCAGGGAGGAGGAGGGGGGCATTTGTTACTGTGTTTGTCTAGCAGCTGCTCTACATATACCAAAGCTCTGCTTTCCTGGGAAGTGGCTGGACATCGCTTACTGAGGGGAAGTAGAGGATAACATCTTTGTTTACCTTTTGTCTCTGTGCATGGTCTTGGCCTTTGCTTTAATTAAACTGATTTTATCTTGACCCACGAGTTTTTTCATCTTATTCTCCTCCTTTATTTTGCTGAAGGGGGAGTGATAGAGGGGCCTCGTGGGCACCTGGCATCCAACCAGGGTTAACCCACCGCAGCGTATAAAGCCTGGGGGAAGAAGGAAGTGTGGGGGGGAACATTCAGAGTGATGGTGTTTGTCTTCCCAAGTCACTGTTACACATGATGGAGCCCTGCTGTCCTGGAGATGGCTGAACACCTGCCTGCCCATAGGAAGTGGTGAATGAATTCCTTGTTTTGCTTAGCTTGCAGGCACAGCTTTTGCTTTACTTTTTAAGCTGTCTTTATCTCAATCCATGAGTTTTCTCACTTTTACTCTTCCAATTTTCTGCCCTATCCTACCACAGGAGAGTGAGTGCACAGCTGTGTGGGGCTTAGTTGCTGGCTGGGGTTAAAGCACAACACACTTCTCATCCTCCAAGTAAATTAATTTCATAGGTAGCTTCCATCACACTAAAAATACTCTGGAAAAAAACAACATGGTCCAGCAGGTGACTTCGGAATAATTCAAAATGTTAAGAGTCTTATCTTAGTTGGAATTCCTGGGAACATCAGTACTGTGTTGTTAATTGACAACACTGCATATGGGGAGGGGGGCATTTTCTTTTAAGAATGAGGCTCACTTTCTACTGACAGATACTGAGAGATGCAGTTAAACAAAACCAAGTGCAAAGCTGCAGTGCCTAGAGGCACAGAAATCTACTTTTTCTACTGTTCTTGTATCTGAAAAATTTTCACAGGCAAAAAGTGAATTGTGAAAATATGGGTCTCCTCCATCCCCATAATAGTATATCCCTCTCTAGAATGTATGAGTACAACAAGAAATTAAGAGAATTTAATTAAAACTTGGAGTTGTTGAAGAAAACTTTTCAGGCTGCAGGAAACCTTCAAGGTTGTGTTCTCCTTTGGGCTACAAAGATTCTCCTTTGGGCTATAAAGATCAAGGAGTTAGTTTTGTAATGGGAAAGAAGAGTGGTTCTTTTGGGAGGCAGGAGAGCGGGATTTAGGCTTATATTTAAAGTCACCTGCAGCGATGTTGGCTGTTGCTGTGTGGTGCAGAGTCATCTTTATAGGGGAGAGTAGCCATGGAAGTTGCTGGTGAAAGGAGAAGGCCAAATTGCATTGTTGTTTGTCTTCTCTCATCAGTCTGGAAGAGATACAGCAAAAGGCATCTGAAGTATTTAAGAATTTCCAAACGTGAAAGTGATCTGTAGGAGTTTTGTGTGTTATTTGTTTTTATTGCCATAATAGTAGTTTTCCCTGTTTTTCATCCTTCCTTAACTGAAGTGAATAAAACTGTGTCCTGCTTAGTCCAAATACCAACCTAATAGTGTTTTTTTCTTTCCTAGGAAGGAGAAATCAACAGAACTGCAAGAGAACATCAGGAGAATAGCGGTGAAATGACCAGTAACATCGCCATCTACAGGTATATAGGTTCTTGTGTGATTCAGACTTCTATGTGTTCTGTTTTCAGTGTGAGGGAAGCTTTTTCTATGAAGAATGTACTAAAACTTGTTTTTCTGTGGCCTTACATCCCTTAATTGCAGTAGCTCTACCTTCATACCATGTCAGAAAGACCCTCAGCTCTCTGGCATTTTTCCTTCCAATTTTCCCTAGCTGACAAGAGGGAGTGCATATTTTGACCAGTTGGCCAGGCATTTATGTACATGCTGACTTGCCAACTTTTCAGGCTTTTAAGGGAGGCCAAACAGAAAAGATAGAGGCTGCAGAGATTCCCTCCTATTTGTTTGTGACCATCTAATAAAAGTATCTGTTCCCTACCCAATTATAATGATGTTGGAAAGAATCAGAGGTCTTGTAGTCTTTCAGTCTGAACCCTGTCTGTTCTGTTTGTGTGTTGTTGCTATAAAGTGTATCAGGGTGGGGTAGACAGACAGTGCAATAACATAGTCCTTATTTTTCAGGTTACTAGGCTTAAGATACCAGCATTCTGTTTAGGTTAGTTCTCAAAATTTGATCTTTACATCAGCTCGAGGGCACAAGGGACTTTCTTGCCCCTAGCTGAACCTTTGCTCCTCATGGACACAGACAGCTGACACTATCAAACGTTCCATTTTGGATACTGCCCAATTTAGCAGCTAGATGACTGTGTCCAAACTCTCTTATTGACTTTGTGGCTTTTGCTTTTGGAAGGAAAGGATGTGGGAAGTGTTAAGGGCATAGCAGGTCAGAAAGCTGTGCTCCATTTACAGGTTTTTCCTTAAACCCCTGTCACTCCCTATGTCACTGCACGGAAGAACCGTGTTTTAATGTAGTGACATAGAGAACTTGTCCCTCAGCATACAGTTACGAAGTTGAAGGGGGAAGGAAAAGTTATGGTCATGGATGAAACTGAGAGCTGCTGACCACAGACTGGGTGGCAAGTATTACACTTTTCATTAGCAGTGGCTTGTGAGCACATTCTGATCATGAGATGTTCTCTGTGGGACTTGCTTACATTTTAATTAGTATCTGGGCTGTATCTACAAGAACAAGGGGTATATATATGTCTTTAAATATTTCCTGTGTCACCATGTGTCTTTGTGCGGCATTGAAACTTTAGACTGGTGCTGTTAGCAGGTTCAGAGAAATGTGATCCACTCAGGACAGGTTTATTTCTGTAAGAGAAGAATGGTGCACTAAAAATCCCCCGATACAAGATAAATAATAAAATATCCTGGCTGAACACTATCTTTGGGGTATTGAATTTTGCTCACCAAAGATTTCTAGTTCTCATGAGCACATGGAGGACTATGCTATACTTTCTGTTCTGAACTACAAAAGCAAAATAAAAAGCACGTGCTGGTTTACAGCTGAGCTTCTGAAGTGTACAGTGTATATAACCTGCCTATCTTACCATGTCATTAGGGGATTTTGACTTTCTCTCTAGATAGACAAAAATTGAGGGAATGGAATACAGTATTTTACCACTAAGAAATTAACTTACCTTACTTTTCAGAGAGTTTTGGATTTGTTTTGGTTCATTTCCACAGTAGCATAATGCCATTTTCAAATGAGCTATTAGAACATAGCGATTTTTTTCAGAAAAATAAAGCAATTTCTGATTACCATGTTTGGTGGAACTTGTGGTTTTTTCCTGGTAAGGAATGAGAGAGAGATAAGAAATATTGCATGTTTCACTGGGGGGCGGGGGGGGGAAGCTATTTTGGGAACAGACAGCAACACTTTGTAGAAGGGGCTGCAAAGTAGGCCAAAATAAATGCACTGGAATTTGTATTGTCTTGACTGCTTTTGTTTTCCTTCCTTAACTACTAAATTGTTCCCCCACTTGAATAGGACTGTCTGAGCACTGCGCAAAGCAGGGACTGCATTTGCACGCACAGGGACTGTGGCTAGCAGCTTGTGGGCAGGCCTTGGTTCTTGGGAATGAGCCCTTTGCTCAGAATGTTGGTTTTCAGCACTGTGTGAAACAGTGGCCTCTCAGACTGGATCTGAGAACTCGGGATAAGGGTGTGCTCTACTACAGTCATAGCTGTTGTTACTTACTTCTGGTTTGGTTTGAAGCAGGAGCAAACCTGTAGATGAATCGAAGAATTTGGAGTCTGAGGAGCTAACTGTGAGCCAGCTACTCTGCTACCTTAGAAACGAAGCTCAGAAGAGGGAAAAACTTGAGAAGGAGCTCCAAGATCACAAAGAGAGGTATGAAGTAGGTACACTGTAACATTTGGAACTGTTTTCTTTCAGGGCTGCTGCAGTTACCAAGTCTGTGGCTGATCAGAGACAAGCTGAAATATCAGTGTGACCTGGATGGGGAATTTCCTGAGCGCTCCGTAGTAATAACTTAGTTTTGTGGTAGTCCTTGTAGAGATAAACCACAGGTTCTCTTCCGTGGGCAAAAGAGTGTCCATGTTTTATTATTATTTCCTATAGCACCACAGATCAAGACAAATTACCCATCTCCTCTTGAATTCAAGCTTTCCCCAGGTCATGTCAGAATGATATAATGACTAGTTGAAGATGTTCTCTCCACTCACTCCTCCATAGTTATTTGGCTTTGTATGAATCATCTGCATGTGGGGCCTCAAGCAAATTACTATTACAGTCCTCTTCGTGATATTGGCAGGCTACATTTAGCAATGTGTGAGCTTGCAAAAGCTCCTTAGAAATGTCTAAAATAAGTTTAACTCCAAACTTCTCTAAGAGAGAGTTTTTCCCTGAGAGTCTGTTTCAGCTCAATTATACTGATATAAATTGGTGTGACTGTTCAGGCATGGAAAATTGCCTAAGCAGTAGCTGTTGCAAATCCCCACTTTGCAGAGACAGAGTAAGCTTTCCTGGACATTTCCTACTATGAAAGGTTGGTGTCATGGTAATTGCTTCTATGTGGTCTTCCTAGAAGAGGTAATGAGCCATAGCCAAATGATTCTTAGAAATCTCAGCCTCTGAAAATATCAAAGGAAAATAGGGGCACTATTAATTATTGGATTCAGGGAACAGACTGATGCATTTCTAGAGAGTTAGCAGTTCTGGACTATACTGAAGATTGATCACTGTGGACTGAATGTCACTGTCCTTCACCACACCTGCAGACTTACACATGCATTTTGATCAAATATGCATGCTGGGTGTCCCGTGTTCTTCAGGAACCCCCATGATTGTGCAAGCTTTCCTGCACGTCTGTGCTTTCAGTTCTGCCTCTCATTTGTGGCTGTGATGTTAGAAGGAGAGTATACCACTTGCATGAAATCCTTGAATAGCTGAAATCTCACTTTAAATGTAGGGCAAATCCATTATTGCTGTATCTTTCTGTTTTCTAGACTGTCAAAGCTGGAGAAGGAAACCAGCAACTGCCTGGAGAGTGGGACACAAACTGAACAGGAAGAAGAGGAGAGTTCAGAGCCTGTAAGTACCTGTCCTCTTGAGCTGAAATTTAAAAACAACATACAGCTTACTTGTTGAGGCCAGCAACCTCAGGGCCTTGCACTCAGGGAGCAAGGGGCAAAAATCCTTCCATGCACAGGGCATGGAAGTGAATTTTGAACTCTACAATCTGTATCTTAAAGGTGGTTCCAAATTACACCAGCCACCAAAATGGGTGAGATTGGTGGCCAGGAATTAGGGAAGCATGGCATAACTGCACGTATACCTTGTTGCCCTGGCCGTGCCCACTAAACAGAGAGAGATGCAGTCATTTTAGCTCCAGAAAATTGTCTAGACTGGGTGAATTTCCTCACTGCTGGCTAGGTCAGCTTTTGGATCAGAATCTCTGCATCCAATGACAGTGTACTGTAAAACAGAGTTTAAATGTAGAACTCATATGGCACCTGATTTGTGTTTTTTTTAATGTTTTTGGTAAGATGTATTACAATGGTGGCACACAACTATCTTGGATTGAGACACAGTTCCAGGCAAACTCAGTCCCGTTGTTTTCAATTAAGGGTCTGAATGGACATTGGGGTTGGGATTCAGCTCCAGATTCAGACACCTAAATTTACGTGCCTACCGTTGTAAGCATCTCTATGTGATGTGAGTGTGTAAGCTTCTATAGTACTGGAGATCCATTCAGGTTCAATGCAGCTGCACAATACAGGGAGCTAAGAATGCTCATGTATGAGGCAGTGTGGGCTATCTGAGGTGCTGCATGGGGCTAGCAAATATGCTATGGGATCTGCTGGAGACCTGTGCCCTTCTGAAGGCTGGGACAAGTATTTTGGGGCAGGGCTGGCTTACTTAAACCAGACCTCTTTGTGTTAGGCCAAGAGATGTCCATTCTAAGGAAAGCAGATGATGTCTCAGTTAATTCTTTCTAGTATTTTTATCTCAACTTCACCTGAGTTACAGCTTGAGCCAGATGCCCCTCATCTAAGTGCTGATATTGAGGTCAGCAGAGTGACTTCTTTGCGATGGCACTCATTTCCATTTATATGCTGTTGGGTTTCTTCAGAGGGCTCTTGTCAGTGGAGCTCATGTTATCTCTCCCTACTGTAAAATGTAGATATTTAACGAAATAATGTGGAGCTGCAGCATGGACCATTTGAGGGCTCAGCATTTGAAGGCATCCTGGGAGAGAAGGAAAAGTTTTTCAGACCTGCTTTGGCTCTGGAGAGCGAGGAGTGGCTGGGGAAGAAGAAACTAGAACACATCCTCTGCCAAACAGCAGCTGACACTAACTTCAGCCAGGTCTCCTGAGATGAGTCATCTTAAAGCACCACTGAAGTCACTGCTCTGCCTTCCCTGGGAGGCTGCTTGCAAGCTTCCCAGAAGCAGAGATCCAGGAGACTATCACAGAATCACAGAATGTTAGAGA